GGAATCTAACCCACGACCCTTCCATCCTTGGACCAACGCTCCACCAACTGAGCCAAACCGACCAGGGCGATATTAAATTTTTTTGTTGTTGTTAATTCTTACCTGAGGATATTTTTTCCATTGATTTTTAGGCAGAGTGGAAGGGAGAAGGAGAGATAGAGAAACATCGATGTGAGAGTCTCATCGATTGGTTGCCTCCCGCATGTGCCCCAACTGGGGCCGGGGATCAAGGCTGCAACTGAGCTAAGTGCCCTTGACTGGACTCGAACTGCAACCCTCAGTCCTCGGGCCGATGCTCTAATCACTGAAAAAACTGGCTAGGGCAAATAATAATTTTAAAAATAATTTTCTCAATTGATGTCATAACTTAGTTCTATACTTAGTAAAAAGCAGTGCTTTAAACAATTTAAAATATCCACATAGAGAAGAAGTGAATGATAGTTAATTTTTTGCTTCCTAATGTTCAAATGTTTCAGATTTGAAGATCAACTTCAGCAGTTGTTGTCTGAAGACTCAGGAACATTTACAGATTCAACTTCCCTTCCCCTCTACCTTCCTCAGACTCTGGTGTCTCTGCCTCAGACTATCCAACCTGTGATTAAAACATCCACAACTACTAGCCCACAGGTGAGAAGAGAGTACATTTGGCATTTATATTAGAATTAGACATAAACTAATGCTTGATTCATCGTGTGATGTTATAATCACCAATAAGTTATTAGCTTAAATTAGATGTTTTCTTAAACTTAATGTGTCAGTTATAGAGGCCCAACTAATTTTGAGTTTCTCCTTGTGAAATGAACGAAGAATGGAATTGAAACATGCTGAAGAGTTGAACAAAACCCACCACCGTGTGCTGACATTCAGTAAGGGCTTGAGGAGAATAGCAGGTGATGATAGTGTCTTCTGTTTATGGAGCACATACTGTCCCAGCTGTGGCATCACCCACACCTTCCTTTCTGGGATTACCTTTCCCTGAGCAGGTTAAGTTCACAAAAGTCAAGGACCTCATCCAAGTTTGTTCAGCTGGTCGGCGGCAGAGCTGCTTTTCAAAGCCAGACTTGACTTGCTCCAAAGATTAGATCTTTCTACCTCACTATCTTTGCTTCAGTGGTAGAAGAAGCAAAACCAGAGTTTTAATCATAGTTATTTAGTTAATGCTGGACAGGTAAAAGGTATGTTCTTGGGCTGGCTTTAGGAAGTCCTTCAATGGGGAGGGAAAGTAAATTAAGACATACTGTTTCTATTTATCAGTTTGGCAGACAACTTAAAAATATTTGTAACCTTTGACCTAATAATTCTGCCCTAAAGAAATTACTGTCTGTGAACAAATTAATGTATTTGTATTCACTGTAGCATTAATTATACTGCATAAAAGTGGAAACAAACTGAATATCCAAAGATGGGAGTTTCAAGTGACTTGTAGCTCCTGAAATGATACTTTATAAAAATGATTGATGCTGAAAGTTCATGGTAAATCATCGGAGAAACACTTCATGTGCAGATGATACCAGATGTATGTATATGTGCTGGAAGAGGCTGGAAGGATCTATGATAGGTGTCAAGAGGGGAGTTTGTTGAGTGCAGCATGCCCCAGACAGGATTTCTAACACGAGCCCAATCTAGTACCTTTAAAGAGAATGTATCTTGGTTTATGGATATCCCAAAGCTATGTTTAGTTTCTTTCTATTCATATAGAATGAAAGGACAGGGGAACAACTGCAATTGTCAGAGGCAACTGGCACATCTTTGACTGAACGGCTGAAGCACCTGGAAAGGCTGATCCGAAGTTCAAGGGAAGAAGAAATTGCCTCAGAGCTCCATATCTCCACACTGCTGGACATGGTGGACATTTGAGCTGCAGACTTGAGAGTGGGAGGGTCTTTCCAGAGATTTCCTTGAAATAAACTTATTCTTGACTAGAGGCCTGATGCACGAAATTCGTGCACTGGGGGGTGGGGAGGTTCCTCAGCCCGGCCTGCTCCCTCTCGCAGTCCGGGACCCCTCACTCCTTACCACCCACCTGCTCTATTGATGCACTGTTGGAAATGTGACAGTTAATTATGCAAACAAAACATTGAATGTCTAAGGCAGCCGTGGGCAAACTACGGCCCGCGGGCCAGATCCGGCCCTGTTTGAAATGAATAAAACTAAAAAAAAAAAAAGACCGTACCCTTTTATGTAATG